TCTCTCTATAAATTAACCTCTGCAAGATGAGCTACAGTGTCCTTCATGGCCTTCTGCTCCTGATGCCTAACACTGAACTAAATAAATCAGAGATTTTTTGAATTAATTCTATATTGTTGCTATATTTGCCGTAATTATCACTTTCTAATCAAAATACTGTAAAAAGAACTGAAAGACAAAGGCACTGATTTGCAAGCCTGATTTGCAAGCCTGATTCACTTCTTGGAAACCGTCTGACCTCGGAGCATTAGGATTCATTTGCTCGACGGTAGGCGGGTACTTTTTTATTTAGCCAATCACTGTTATTTGGTCGTAATGTATGTAATGCGCCAAATTCGGTAGGAAGAAGGGCAATAATGTCTTTCCCTTTGATAAAATTCACCAAACTTTCTTTTTGTTCCGGCTTTAAATCCTTGATCTTGGGAAGCGTTGTCAACGCAGAATGTCTGGCTTCATCTACATTCAGCTCAACCGCTTTGTTTACTGTTGTGCTGTACCACAAAAGGGACGCAGACAGGTGCTTGACTTTGACATCATGGCTTCACAGCTCCTCACTGATTGGCCGGTGAGCGGTCTACAACTTTTGGGGTTCTTGTGAACCATCTAGTGTATTTTGTTTCCTGACCTAGTCACTGGAGAGAAATGAAATTGAGTGGAGGCACTAAGTGGCACTAGCCTGCCTACTGAGTTGCTGGTGGAAAAGAGATCTTTAAAAAGTTACTTCTATGACATTTATTTTTCAATTTTGTCCAGTGAGTAGGCTGTAAATGATAAGAGAAGTGTAAAGGTTATAGCAACCACACAATCCACTGGCAATATGGGTTGAATTTATGTAGTGCTTTGCAAACAGTGTTGGGAAGAATACTTGTATGAAAATGTTTATTTACAGAATACTGAATGCCTGTATTAAAATATATTTTGTAACATATTCTGATACATGGCATATTTTTACATAAATTAAGTTATATTTTAGTGAGAAAAATACTATATAGTATTACAAAATACTTTATTTCTGTTGCCCTGTCTGCTTTAACTTATGTCTAATTTGAGAAGGAAAAATGCACATACACCCTCCATAATCGTATGACTTGCAGTACAAAGCCACAATTACATGATAAAGTAACTCCATGTATTCCTTTTAATTTAGGAAAGTAACTGTACCAGAATACAGTTACACAAAGTCAGCATTCAGAGTATGTTTTCGGTACATGTGTTCAGTTACTTCCCAGCACTGATTGTAAAATAGACAATTCAGACATTACTCATCATTATTCATTGTCTACACACAGTGAAAGTGAGCTATGGCCACAGCTGCCTTTATGTGGCTGCCATCCTGTGCCAACAGCCCCATGTTACACCCTATTCTAGCTTAATCACTTCTTTGCTCACCACATTTACACAGTCAAAGTGGGCATAGTGTTTATTTTAGAAACAAAATTAAGTAATTTCAATTCAATCTACTGTCCAAAGTAAGCCTAGATGCAATTTGCTTTTTAATCTGGCTATTTATATTACATTGACAAATCTTTTTTTTTTTAATTCTGGAAGTTTGATTTCACTAAGCAGGTCACATATTAAACAACAAAATAAAAAAGATTTATTGATATACATCTTCAGTCATGGGTCATTGTTAACTTGTCATGTTTCTTCTCATAATAATCGTAACATTAAAATTTGATATTGTGACAAATTCCTGAACATTATGAGAACACAGTGGTAGAAGGGATGCGGAGGTGGTAATAGCAAGAACATGCACTTGAACTTGAGTCTGTGTGTGTGTGTGTTTGGCGTGCAACTTTATGAGTGTGTATCCCCAGAAGCTTGAGGCCAAAGGTCAACTACTGGTTTTACAAAAATGCACACTTCCAAAACACTCAGGATAAATCGGGTTAGTCTGGGCTGAGCAGAGAGTTTTAAAATACCAGGGGATGGTGTGGTGCGTGCAGGGGAGAGATCCTTCAGTCTTTTTAAAGAGCTTCAATGGGATGTTTGCACACTCTCCTAATGGCTTTAGATGGAGGAACCATTTATCTTTTATTTCAGGGGGGACCAATGAGGGATGGACCTGTTTTGTCCTTGTGACGATTCTGGTTCAACACACACAGAGAAAAATAAGCCATTACAAAAGCAATCATTCAAATAATATCATATGCAAAGAGGTTTAAAGCATTGTTTTCACCCAGGCAGTTTAGATTTTAACAGACCGCCCACACTTTATTCTAAACTATATCATAAAATCACTTTGGTATTCATATTCAGTATATGTCGATGCAGGAATACTAGCAAGAAAATATGGGATTTTCTTATACTTCTAAACAGCAATCCACATTTTGGAGGCCTGTACCTGGTTCAGGAACATGTTTTAGTTTAAACTTTTAACCCCAACCACTTAGTCCTTTCTGCACCATGGCACAGAAACAACTGTCATATGGTTGTTTAGTTCTCAAGTCTTTGCATTGTCAGTTATTTTTTTGTACTGCTGCTGAAAATCAGTCCTAACAGAGAATGAATAGAGAATGAAGTATCTGGAATAGTAAGTAGCTTTTGGTTGCTCAGTAACAATGTACCTGACTGCATGAAAGAAGGTGACCACATTAGTAGGTTTTAGATGGATTATTACTTGACAAAATGGTGTGTAAAATTAGTAGAATTAGTAGTATTAGTAAATTATAGTATTAGTAGATTAGTAGTAGTAGATTAGTAGAATTAACATTCTAAATTTGTTCTTATTTAGTTGCTTTTTTATCAGACAGTGCTTGGTGTACAGAGTATTTATCATGACAAGAATAAATTAAAATAATACAGCCCCTTTAAGTTTGAATGTGGTTGCAATATAGCTTACATTACAGCTCAAAAAAGTAGCATGAAGTTGTCATCTAAAGCAATCCAAATCTTCCTCTAAATCATCTGCCATCTAGTAGCACAGTGTCCACTCTGCAACCCCATACATCACGTCTATGTGTGACAGCTTTGACCTGAAAAACTCCACCAAATGGGCCCGGAAACCCTCTTGAGATCCAACTCCTCTCTCCACACCTCCGCACCCCCAACATTAACCTACTGCTCTAATGCACTACTGTAATAAAAGTGGGCGTGGCGTGGAGAGAGTGATGAGGCGTTTGTGGAAAGTAGGAGTTTTTATGTTCATACAGCTGGCTAGTGTCTTCTAAATGTATAAATCCACAAAGATTAAGTTGAACATAAAATATACTTCTTTCTGTCTGTTTGAGGTGAAGGGGATCTTAAAGTCTCATATTGTGTTACAAAATCATGTCAGGTCAGAAAGTTGTAATTTGGACCCTATCCCGCAATGCAAATCCAAAAGTGCATACGATATTGTGCTGGTGCTTCGTAAATAGAAACATTCTTGGCATAGAGCATGTGTTACTCAATGTATCTTGAGCTTTGACAATGATTGTGACCACAGTCTATGAGCAGGCATATATTTAGACTGCTTGTAAAACCATTTTCTTGTATTAGGTTCCTCTGCTTTGTCTTTGCCAAATCATTCAGCTCATGTTTTAGATATTTGTTTCTGTTTGGGGGGATTCTGGGCAGTAAGTGTTTTTGTCTGGGATTACTCCAGTTCTGACGGTAAAATAGTTTCAAAGTGCTGAGAGCAGCGTGTTGAGGAATTGAATCATTTATTACACAAAATAAGTCACTGCTGTTGTTGCTTTGTTTATTGTTGGCCTGTTTGGTTCTTGTTCAAGAATTTGATGATGTCATGATCTCAGATGGAGGCAGGAGTCCATATTTCTCTGCAGTTCATAATTGAGGAAATCAACATGTTAAACCTGTATTTTTTTTTTTTTTTTTATAAAAGTAGTACTGGGCCATACATTTTCTATTATAAATGTATAGCTAAATAGTACAGTGCATATACAGACTCTGGCACCAAGTTCTTGTAAGCTAAGAAGGAAAAACATATACTGGTCACTGTTTAGGTTGAACTTTTTATCATTTTAGCAGTTACAATTCAAACAAAGCGTATTTAGTTTGGATCAGTTTGTTATATGAAAAGCCTATAGGAAAGTGTCCCGACAATATCCTGCCATTTGTTGGAACTACCATGGTAAAGGCTGTGTAAAATAATAAAGCCTAATCTCGAGATTTTCTGCAAATACTTCCTTTAACAAGTCACTGGTGGTGATGATCTGATCCCAGTAAAAGTCTCTTGAATTATAAATCAGTGTACACCACAAGCTTTTCTATTCCAGTAGCTTTCCTTTTCTCACAGCGCCCTCTGGTGGCCACCCCGCTGCTTTGTAATGTTCCGGCTACTCTTGCCTCCTCTTACGCTGCTTGATTTAGGCCCTTTGGAGGTCATGTGGTCATATGAAGTGTTTCAAAAGCACAAGAAGACATTACACTCCCACTTTTGATAGGCTTTATGAGCAGATATTAAATGGTATTCAAAAAGTAGACCTATGTTGCTTCAAAATAATACTAATAATTTATTTGGTTATTATAATATTAAATACATCAGTTCAAGTAGAGGTGATTTGCCGTAACAAAGTGATATTATGTTATATTTGTCCAATGTACTGACCAAAATATTAAGTCACTAACTATACTCACTAAGACTGACTGAAATATGCATATTGGCTGAAATAGACTGAAATCAATAAACATGACAAGGCCTACACTGAAATGAATGTAGGACTTTAATGATCTTTTCATTTTTTTGCACCTTTGCTTGTTCTTTTTTTATTTTATGACCATTTTTTGTAACTATTGCAATATTATGTTGATGTTAGACTGGTTGTGTTGTAGATGGAGGCATGAGCTCACTGGTTCCAGTCTGGCTGTACAAAAGTCTCATCCATGCAGCGCCTAAAAGGTTTCCTCAGTGAAAACAAACGCACTTCTCAATCTCCTCTGCTCCCATTAACCACAGATTAACAACAGCTGCAGGCACTGTTTACTCCACTCGTATTTATTATTATATCTTACACATATTGGAACTGCTCTCGTGATCAACGGACGGACAGCTTCCTGGTGGGATTAGTGTTTAAACTTTGAAGTGGTCTGTACCCCCTTTGACGTTGCCAGTGCTGAGATGCTGTGCGTGACCCAGAGTCTGCCGTAAACCAAGCTGATCCAGGGGAAAACACAGCTGTAAAACACCAAACCTGGCAACAAAGGAAAACCCAGTGTTTATTCTAACATATGTTCATTTGTGTGCTATTTATTCAGTCATAGCAAGCCAGGGAACAGTCCTTTCTGATTACATGCGTTGTTGATGTTCAAATGTTTCACTGAAGGAAGAGATGGAGGTACAAATACATGCAAATAACGCAATACTTTACTCACATAATTCTCATAGGTCAGGCAAATGAAGACATGTTTCACCTACTACATAGCACAGACAAAAAATGAATTAAGTGTCTTGACACAATTTGTATTTTTTAGTCTGTTTTGAAAGACCAATAATAAAAAATAAGGAATAATCCTGCTGAACTTCTACCTGTAGTAGATCCCATGTAATCCAAGGCATAACAGTTACAACTAGAATTCAGAGTATTCTGAAAATATATAGTGCAACTGTTCGGTAATGCTTTAATGCTTTTATTGTCTTATCAAAAGAAAAGAAATAAAAACATTTACAAAACGAGCATTGAAACTCTAATATCACCACTCAAAAACAATGAGTCTTTCCAAAAACAGCAGAGGGACGCCCTGCAAAGAGAAAGGAAAACTCCAGCACCAATGACCTGTGATATTTACCTTCATGTTAACTGCTCAGTGCTGCACCTCCGGGCATGGGCCGCTGTTTGGACTGTTCCTGATGCAGAACAGATGAGGAGGGCATTCGGGAAACTTTTGGTCCCTCTGTATTACAACTCCAGTAGTTCCACGGTCTAGTAAAACAGAATAAAAGCCTGTATGAATCCAGTCTCTGAAGATTACATGCTGTGTGAAAGGGTCGTCAGGTGAGCAGCTTGGGAGGAGAATATAAAAGAAAACTATTAGTATACCAATAAATTATTTGCTTTAGAATCGACTAGAACTTTATTTGTTTGGAATGACAGTAGCTCAGTTGGTAGAGCATTCTCTTCACTGATCCGAAAGTTGGCAATTCGATTCAGATCCACTGACCCACAGGTTGGCATTGTTTAGCCTTTCTATCCTGGAGTGTGGATCCTGTGGATCCATGAGGCTGTGGAGACATGTCCTCTCTTAAAAAGTGGTTGATGCCCTGGAGTTTATGGTCACACAAACAGTGGGTGGTCAAATAATTGTTAAGTGAGGTAAGGGAGAGGAGATGGGGGTGTCCTTCCACACCTGTATCAAACTGTATACAGTAGATGTGTTTGTCAATTTACTTGAGGGTCCCATGGCTCATGGAAATTTACATCATCTTTTATAAACAGTATTGGCTGTTCAAATAGACAACTTTGGGTACAAATTGCATGAGTTTTTTATGTGCCTCAGTTGATGGTTAGATCGTCCCTGATTAAGCACTGATTCCTGCAGTTTAGTACTCTCTGGACCAGCTACATGAGAACTGGTTCTTAGTTAACTTACACTTGCATCACACATTTTTATTTGTGTAGGCTATTGTGCTGATAGAAATGCCTTCCAAACTTATACAATAAACAAGATTAAGTAAGTAAGTGACAGTGAAGAGATAAGTGAAATACGTGATACGTTTCTTAGTGAAGAAATAAGTGCACACGCTGTTTATTATTTTGTGTGAAAATGTTCATGTTCCCTGATATATCTTTATTTAGCAGGAGGCTCAGACTCCCTATTTCTACTGTTTGTTTGGACACAAACAAGCAAACCTGACAATCATGAATCCCAAAAATACATGCAATACATTGATTATAATGTAAAACAGGCATAAACAATGAGATATATAGATATAACTCAATGCAAAAATACACAAAATTAGCTACTGCCTTGTGTTTGTAACGATATATAGCCTATATAAGCCGCTTAAACACCTCTAGAGGGCAGTGGAGTTGCTGGTTGGTGTTTTATCTTAGCCGTATCGCATACAAAAATAATCGATAAGTCGGTACATATTTTAGTAATAAGAGTCATTCTCAATCAGCTATACAAAATCCTTTCTGCGTCTACAGCCATGGCATGTTTTTGTGAACTTTATGCTTAGATCCGTGTCTTTTTGCAGTTCAAAGATGGGGCTGATCCGAGAAAGACAACGTGGAAGACCTCTCACTATGTCTCCATCTCTTGTGCCCAACATTCAAGTTATCTAATTGTATAGTATACATGGCTACTATTAACATTTTGTACATTTGATGTTTGATTGAGAAGAAATGGAATTAAGAGCAAATAAATAATAGGGACCATTAGCAAGGATGTTACCGAGTGAAGCATTGTGCCGCATTCACGATGGACGGTCGGTACGTGTTCGTGTGCGCGTGCCCGTAATGAATTCCTCCGTTTCGTCAGTTCCGTAAAAGCCGTGATGGGCAAAAGCCATGAGTAAAAGCTTTCCGTTGGCTGATAGAGGATTATTTACGAAGAGTGAAAACAATATCTATGAAAGACAGAGAGACACCGTTTTATAAACTGGTTCAAACACAGAAGTGGCCTGTGTTGTGTGACACGATCTGTGTTTTCAGGAGTGTCACTAAAAACACGCCAGTGTTTTCCAGCCGCGCATGAAGGAACTGACCTGGGATGCACGGCTGCTAGCTCATTAGCTTGTTTGCTAGTCTCCCGAGGAGCTGTTCTCACGACAGGACCAAACACCGGTAAGACCGAGCGTTGTGATGTTCGTACTTAATACGCAGTGTTACAGCTCAGTCTAAAATGTGCAAAATCAGGACCAGTCAGACATGCAGGAATCCCATATGTTAGGCTTTGTTCCTGCTGGAAGTGTCTTGTGTTCTCTTCTAACAGCTGCTGTGTGGAGACAGGCCCACGATGCAAATTCCTCTCCTGCCATAGTCACGAGCTTTATTGTACTCTACCTTCAATTATGTGTAGTATATTAAAATGCATGTTAATTTGATTGAACTTAATACCATTTTCTCTATATGGGCTCAGGGACTGTTGGAGGTGGAGCTGCGCGCGCTGGTACGCAAAAATGCGCACCTGTGCGGATGCACCTGTTCTGAAGTCGCATTTGAGGGATAAAGAACTAACGTTTCCTTAGTAGTATAGTTCAGTTTGCACCTCTTTAATGTATCAGAGAAACAAGTTTAACTAATGCTTATTCCTATATCCTTGTGTTAATTCGTTTTCATTACACCAATACTGCGCGTGATTGTACTGAACTTGCAGACCAGGACATAGTTCAGATGCAGATAAGAGCTAGTAAGTGTTGTGGCCCTAAATAGAATTACCCCAAGCCTTTAAAAATTGCCTGGTAATGTGTGAGCAGACTCGTGTGTGTTTGTTTTGTACTGCAAAACATTTTAGTAATCACTGTAACATCCCAACTACTGAAAAGTAATTCAGGTTAATATAGTTAAGTAAAATACAAAGTCTCTTCATGTCAAAGCCAACAGTGGACAGTGGAAAAAGGGCAGGGCCTGGCCACGTTTTGATAGTGGTGACCTTTTGTAAACGCAGTGAGAAATGTAAACAATGTGAGTCTTGTTTAAGTTTCAACTGCTTTTGTCATCTGCTCTCAGTTATGTTTAACCATCAGTTTCACACTTTCACATGCAGCAATTATTAATAGATTGGAATTTCATGTTTTTTTATAATCCACCATCAATATTTACGTAGTCATTGCAAATTTAGAGATAGACTCTTCTAAACAAACTTAAAGATTTTGTCATGTAAAAGAAGAAACTCTTAACACACACTCAATGAAATACTGCTATCTATTATAGTCATGTGGTTCATTTGCCTACCTCACTGACACTAGTCATCCTTCATCATGTTTCCCCTGGGCGACAATCTCTGACTGTGTTACCATGGATAAATGACTACACAATGTAAACTGCATACATAGCATAGAGGTGCTTGTGGTGAATGGGTGCTCTGAAATGTCTCTGTGTAATTGGGCTGTAAAGATGAGTATCCTCTTGAAAAGGATTCATTGGTGTAGCAAGAGTATGTTTTGTTTTCATAGGTGCTATTTTTGCTTAGTAAGAGCTCTTTGAAATCTGCCCCAGCACTCCGCTAAATGATTTGCATAGTGTCTGACTGTCTCCTCTTCAAAGTAATACAATATATTTATTTCTTGTTTTGGACTAATCACATCATGATGAATCAGTTTTACATTTAGTAACTAAGTAAAAGCAATAGTTTTGAGTATGCAGAAAGATATTTAGTACACTGAATAGCAGCATTTATATTTGCGGGGCTATGAGGACATGTTGATATGTAAACTACAGAGGTGTTGGGACAAGGGTGTTAGGCTTTGTTTAAGACCCAGGGCTGTACATTTAATTTAAACAGGTATAGAGATTGAATTATTTCTAATGATCAATAATCTGCTTGGGGCTTTTTTAATCAAGAAGTCTACAGCAAATCCAGCCAATCAGGCACAACTGGTGGTTTGGATCAGAATTCAGACTTTGGAGGAATATATTTTTGTGTTAAATCACAGTGAATAAAGGTTTTTCTTGTTTATGTTCAGGAAAATTTTTAATTTTAATTAAATTTTTTCTTTTTTAATTTTAAGTCTAAATTAAATCAAATAGAAAATTGCCATCCATCAATCAGAGAAAAAAGTTTTAAATGTTTTGTCATATTGTAAAGGCAAGAAATAGGTTAATTTGCTCAATGAAAAGAAAATATTCGCAAATAATTTGATTTGTTCATTTCAGTCAAATTGTATATCTAGTTTGAATTTTATTCTCTGTTTGCAGACAATCCTTGTAGCTGTTGTACATAATCTAATAGTAATGTATATTTGTTTTTGTGTGTCTTTTCAGACCTAGTGCATTATGACAGATAGCATAATGAGTAAAGCAGCTACTATGGAGATTCCCATCAACAGTAATGGAGACACAGGGACTCTGCCCGAGGATGACAGCTTGGAGCAGGTCAGTCTTCACCATCTAATGTTTAGTTAAGCTCTTAGACTTTCCGCATGTGTGTGTGTTTTTTTTTTTTTTTTTTTTTTTTACATTTCAAAAACAGTTTATAATTATAACTTTTCAAATGTACAGTTCGTTCAGTGTGTGGTGACGTTAGTTTTAGCTTGAGTTCCTTTGCTCATTTTGAGAGCCCTGGTGGGAATTTTGAGGTTGAAGTCCAGCTGCCGCCCTGAATGGGAAGGCTTATTTTCTAAAAACATTGTATTCTCAAATTCTCTGAGGTGAAAGGCATAGAGGAAAATAACAGCTTTTTTTTTTTAAGTTTGATTAAACACAAATTTTGTATTCAATTTGAATCTGAAGACGAACCCCTCCTCTTCATGTTGTGTATGCTGGTTGGAGTGTTAGCACTAGTGTAATAATGAATAATCGGCCCATCTGCACTTCGAAAAACACATATTGTTAGTAGAAGGTGGAAGTAAAAAGTAACAGGGCCACTCAGGCTGAACAGGTCCACTGTAAGGGTGCATCTCGGGCCACACCTCCTTGGTTAAACACAGCCAACATCCTGGAGGAACTCGCAGCTGTTAATCGGCATATTTACTGAACAAACTGCCCTCCCTCTTCAAGTCTTAAACCGCATCAGCCCCAACTTTACTGCGGGTGATATATGACCTGTTTGGGGCTGGATATTAACCAGTTGTCATGGTAACACCGTAATTACTGTGAAACTGGCCAAAGCTGTGTCCCTGAGTGAAAGCCTCACAAAACAGATTTCTATCAGCTCTGTGTTCAGTCAGGCAGAAAGAGCCACCTTGAGCCGGTCGGTAAGCTCGCTGGCAATGGGTCTGACTATAAAAGTAGGTCTAATACTGCACTGCTATACATTGTCATTGTTTATTTGTTCAATTCTACACTAAGTGATGACTGGAAATACCTTTACTTTAATATTCATGAGCCAATCACTAATACCAAAACTGGAATAGAACATTATGCTATAGAAAAATGTATTGGCATATTTTCCACATTGAAACCTTTCCAAACTACCCCAGTCACAAACATCATGGATTCTGACAGCAGAGATTTATTTAAATGCTTAAAGCTGTCCTAGTTTCTCTGAACTTTGAAAGCTGGCTCTGTGTTAGCGGGAGGATCTGCCTGACTCAGCCTTCTCCCACTGAGCAGCATGATGTCCCTCTCTGTAGGAAACGCGTTCATACTTACAGAGCCAAGTGTCATCATGAATATACAGTTCTGTTTTACTGACAGAGTGAACTACCTACTTGAATATGTAATGCTCTGTTTGCAATTCAAAATACCAATATTGTTTGTCACATCATTTTCGTGTTCTAATAACTCGCCGAACAGTTGAATCCTATTGCAAACTGTATATTCAGCCATCTTTCTGTCTGCAGCAGTAGTCAACATGACCACCGATTGACACAGATGGTCTTGATTTTATTTGTTCAATCCATCTCTAGAAAATGTGTGTTGTTTTTGTATTATTATAGATGATCTGTTTTGTCATAGAATACGAAAACATTTTTTTTCAGTTCAGACTAAAGTCTAAACATAATAAAAGACCACTGATGTCACGCCAGTTAAATGTATTCCTAGGGTTCAGTTTTGTAATTATAAGCACCATTTTGAGAACTTTGTACCATTCAAAATATAGGTTTTTGTATTTCTTGCTATAGCAATTGTGCAAATTTTTCATCAGTTTGAAACCGAGGCATAAGTTGGACACGGCACTTCATTTAAGTTGGAAGCACATTTTTTACTTTTGCATTTTGTGTTGCCATGTTTCTTTTGATTTTGTTGCCACGTTTGTTGATTTCCCTCCTTCCTCATCTCTGCACAGGCTGCTAAACGGCAGTGGAGCTTAGGGGAGAAGGTAGGGAGCTCCCGAGGACCCAGGGTGAGCAGGCCATATACATGTGTGTTCATGTTGGTGTGCACTGTGGACTGTGGTGCTTTCATCCTTAATATGGCCGACCACTGTGTAGTTCTGCTCCCTACTAACTCTAGCTCTAGACATCAGTAATTCATCTTTGTTTTAATTCATCTTGTAATCAACTGTGTGTGTGTGCAGACACTTGGGTGATCTATTAATATCAGCTGGTGTTGGTTAAATAAATCTGCTGTCACAAATTATACTGGCCTACTAATAGAGGTGGGAGGTATATGAAATAATTATATGGTCTATATAAAAAATATATATTTTAAAAGACTGCATTATAGAAAAAATAGTCAGTGTAATATTTCAAATAGTCATTTTATTATCAGCAATTTCACATTATCATGATGATGATGTAATAGTTGTGTTTGATAGGAAAGCAACAAGCTAAACGTGTCTCTGTATGCAAACTTCCTGGAAGCAAGTAGCCAATGTTGTTTTGCTGTTGTATATTAGGGATAGAATTTCACTTTTAACTCATTTTGATAGCACTGTTAACACAGTCTCTCTCTTCAAGGTAGGAAGCAGATCCTTCATCAGAAAAGTTACATAGTGCACCTTTAAATAGCATCAACCCTAGCCAGAAAAAGATCATTTCCTCTTTGTTTTCAACTAGAGGTTTAAATCTGATTTTTAATTTGGGAACCATTTCAATGCCATGCCTTTTTAGTAACTAACCACAGTAACGTAATATTGTCCTTGTACACAGTAGCCCTTACCTTTAACCTACTACTATTACTACTAATACTGCAGCTGCTATTGATCCATAAACATTGTTAGTGATCTCGTTCTTTTTTTTTTTCTTTCTTTCCATGTATCTTGATCTAATTTTTCAGGATTTGCAGCAGGTTATGGTTTCAGGCCCCAATCTGAACGAAACCAGTATTGTATCGGGCGGATACGGAGGCACGGCTGAAGGCATCATCCCCACCAGCTCCATCAAAGGTAGCTGCATGTGCATGGGATTCTGAGCTTTCTTGCTAAATGTAATCTGTTAAAAAAAAGTTTTATATTGTAACAATCATATGTTCCAAGTAATAAAATCTGACTTGCATGTTCATGAAGAAATCAAAAACAAATTACTTTTGGAGCCTTCAGAGCATGAATCTGCAATATCTGGCAATTACCTGAATACTGTCACTCTTTTTCCCAGGCCCTGGCATACGCTACAATGCACAGTTTTATAAAAGGATTGAAGTGACAGGAATAGGTGGCTCATTACACTGTATTTACGAGATGGGTCCTATCCACTTTGTAGATTTATTTCTTTATTTCTATAACAAAATTATAGCTTTTGGGGAATTGGGATGTCTTTTGGTACGTTTGGAAAGCTGGTTTGGGAAGCTTTTTTGTTTTGGGGCATGTATTTTCTAAACCATTCATAATTTCCAGGGACAGTATAATATCTGAATATATCAAACTTTTGCTTCCTCTAATTGAGATTTAAAATTGTCTGAGCAATGTCATACTGAATTATTTTAGCAGCAGGCATAGCTGTTCTTCGTATTCATCATGATTCATTTGTCTTCATTGTTGACTGTCACTAAACATTGTCTTTTCATCTCTTTTCTCCTCTTGTCCTCCTCTTTTGCTTCACTCCCTCCTACCCATCTTCAACCCTCATCCATCTACTTTGTCCTGTTAATTTTACATTCTTGCATGTTTTTCCTCTTCCTGCACACTTATTTCTACTCAATCCCTTTATTTACCCACTATATTCACAATACCCAAACACGATAACCCCTTTTATCCCCTAATGAAACCCATTTTTCCCCTAATTCCAAATCCCAAAAATGTACCAATTGGCCACACATCACAGATCTGCGCATGAAGGCCAGAAGAAATAGTGTTCCCCCAGTCATCTGTCACTTAAGTCAGTCTCGTCATTATCAAGGTACTGGGAAAGAAAACTGCCATAAATATCACCTTATATTGTTACTACTAGGGCTACATATTTTATACACAGTTATTGTGAAAGGATAATTTTGTATTGTTCTGAACTACAGGTACAGCAAGATACAACAAAGGACAGGATAATATGCTGTACAGAGGACTTTCTCTTGTAGAAAATATTTGTACTCTTTGTACTTTAAAAACCACACCCAGCCCAAATTCCAATTGCAGCCCTATTGCCTACTGTTGCAGTTTTGGACAATTACACACCTGTGTGTACTGCTTTTCTTAACTGATGATTCGATCAGTTGGTGGTGGAATGATCTTTCTGTCTTTGGGGAATTGTAGATGTTTTCTCATTTATTACTGATTTTTATTGTATTTTTATGTTAGTTTTTCCTTGCACTTTTTTTAATTCTCCAGGTTCCAGCATGAATCACAGTAGCAGCAGCTCCTCTATGACGGCCGAGGAGTCAACTAAAGGAGTAGCCGTGGAGAAAATTGAACAAGTCAAAAAGTGGGGGCTAAATACTTACAAGGTACTCGATAATTTCAGTTATTTAAAAAAAAAATGTTCTCCCTATGTATTTTCCTTCTGTTTGTCTCTAGATTTTTCCGAAATAGTATATAGTATGCAGTTTTCTTTAGAAAACAAATACGCAAAAAGTGATGTTGATGTATTCTTCACACAGTTTTAGTGTAGACCTGGATAGCCAACTTCAAAGCTTGAATAACTGAAAAGACTAAACTTGCAGCTGTGTTCCCATTGCTCCCCCTTGTGTTCAAAAGAGAGGCTTACATTAGCTGGATAAAAATAATTGCTCTTGGCCACGTCTTCATTTTTGTTGCCTTGTTACAAAATATTATGTGATTATATAGATTTACACTTTTATTTGACTTTGAAACGTTTGTCTAACAATGTGTCCTGTGCTTGTTGGTAATTGACTAGTTCCTGTTCTCTTGTCAGTGTACAAAGCAGATGATCTCAGAGCGTTTTGGTCGGGGATCTCGGACAGTGGACCTGGAGCTTGAGGCTCAAATCGAGGTTTTGAGGGACACAAAGAGGAAATATGAAAACGTGCTGCGATTGGCCCGAGCGCTGACCAGTCATTTCTACAATATGGTCCAGACGCAGCACGCTCTGGGGGACACCTTTGCCGACCTCAGTCAGAAATCTCCAGAGCTAAGGGTAAGGGTTAGAAGAACATAATTATATACATTACATGTACATTAACATGTATTATTTATTTTTAGTATTCTTACAACGTTTAAGGTGCGTCATGTAACTTTTCTGGTAGAGGGTCTGCCACCGCTTGCTTCCATAGTTTTGCTTTGCCCTGAATAGTACAAAGTTAAAGGTTGGATCTTGGAAGAGGTGACCCCACTAACATTAAGAATGAGCAATAAAACACTTGCAATTGAATAAATGCTTGAACTATAACATCGCCATATAAACAAGCAGGTGTCACTTACCATCCAGAAAAAGATTGTGCACTTTTTATGAAATGTGCTTTTTTCCCCCCAGGATGAGTTTGGATACAATGCCGAGACACAGAAGCTCCTTTGTAAGAATGGAGAAACGCTGCTTGGGGCAATTAACTTCTTTGTATCCAGCATCAACACACTGGTTAATAAAACAATGGAAGATACTTTGATGACAATAAAGATGTATGAAAATGCCAGGTAAATTGTTTCAAACATTAATTCATTTATTTTAGAACTATATTCTTACATTTTGTTGCATTTTTATATTTTGTGAACCATTCTTAAAAACGTTTTTCTTCAGATTGGAGTTTGATGCATACCGTACAGACCTGGAGGAGCTGAGCGCAGGCCCCAGAGACGCAGTGGCCATGGCTCGAATTGAAGCTGCGCAGCAACAGTATCAGATTCAAAAAGACAAATATGAAAGGCTCCGATCTGATGTCACGATCAAGCTCAAGTTCCTGGAGGAAAATAAAGTAAGCTGAGTTTAGCTAAACCTGGAATACTCTCTCAGTCACGGCACTCATTTATAAATTGGACATAAAAATAAGATGAAGCAAATATCTCCAAACATATTAAATGTCTATACAATTTGACATTTATTTTTTTAAGTTTGAGGGGGGGGAGAAAAAATGTTTATGGCTCTATAACTGCCTTAAAGTTGCAGATTTTACTAGTTGTGAGAACAGGAGGTCGATCAGTTCATGTAAAACAGTAGTGAGTCAGCTACTGTTATGCACCCTGATGTCATAAAATGATTCATAATACACAGCTCATCATGTTGTGCTCATATGACTGTTCAAACACATGAGGAAACCACCTCAAGTAGTATGCAGTCATATTCCGTTATCTAACGACCCATGTTTACTTTTGAGTTTAAGTGGTCATTTTGTATAATTTTTTTCTGTATTACCAACCCGATCATCTGTTCTCCTCCTTCAGGTGAAAGTGATGCACAAGCAGCTCCTCCTCTTCCACAATGCCATCTCGGCGTACTTCGCAGGGAACCAGCAGCAGTTGGAGCAGACGCTGAGACAGTTCAATATCAAGTTGAGGCCACCAGGGGCAGACAAACCCTCCTGGTTAGAAGAGCAGTGACCTCACTTTTGCCACCCACCACTCAAACACATGTGACCTGTCGAACCCCCAGTAAACAGAGGAACACTGCAATGGGAACACAGGAGGAGAAACTGTGATAGAGACTAGATGAGCAGATGGCTGAGTGAGTGTGACAAATGTGGATATATAGATGCAGGGTATTTGCCATGGATGGATGAGGCAACAGTTTACCAAGTGGCCAGTGTCATGGACAGTTTGGGGGCTATAGTGCCTCTATCTCTCTCCATTTTCACTTTAACTCTCACATGAGCTTTATCCCATTTTCTTTGTCTTACCCTGGCCTGTCTGTATGTGTACTAGATAGTCAAAAGTATGACTATATTATTCATGTGTTTGCTATACTCTATATGAGACTGAATCATGCCTATTTGATGATGAGAAGATGAGAACGGGTGCAATGGTGATAGTGACCATTAAAATAGATGAAAATGTAACTAACCACTTTGAACAGGTTTATACCCTGGGTTTGTGCCTCTCTACTTGTACTGACAATATCTCAGATTAAATTAACATACACTATGTGAAAGAAGTAGTTCAGACACCGATATGTTTAATACAGTAAATATAAATGTAGTGTTTTGGGTTAGTGTAGAGACAATTCACATGAAACAAATGATCATGTATTTCCCTGGAATCGAACAATGCAGATTTGTTAGTCGGGGTCTGAGCTAATGTGTCACCTGACAATTTATGGAAGGAACGTATATTTTCCAATCTTTGCACACATTATATCCGCATATTCTCAAATGAAGGTTTTTTTCTAATAGCATTTTCAGTGGCCATCAGACACTGCCATTGTTTATGCAATCATGTTTGTTTGTTTTTTTCATTACTTTTCCAAAGACTGTTAATGGGCAAAGACTACTGCTTGTGCTAACTTGTCAGTGTATGAGGAATAAGTGACCTCAGTTTGTCATCTTATAGTAAAACTTGAAATTCCACTATATTGTCAAATTGTTTAAACTATGTGTCATAATGCCTTTTATGTATCAAATATTTGTTATATCTGTTATATATTGTCCAACACTACATTAACAACTGACTGCTAGCAAGGACACTGCTACATGTTAATGGCCTCAACTAATGTCTCTTCTGTTTCAAATGTTGTTACATGCATTTAAAAACAATACTAAAATGTTTGCTCAGGCTAATCCAATCATAAAAGGACCGTAGTAAAATGTAGACACCCAATAAATTAGGACTCACTGTGGCATTAACCATATCAACTTTTGTAGCCAGTCCTGTAGCTTCTTATCACCTGTGGATTTGCATGGCAGGCTGCAAATGCAAGGTGTGAACTACTAGTCTCCATTTTGAGCTTGCATGGACAGGCTAAATGTCAGTGTGTAAGAAACTAATTTTAGTGTCTATAAGTTTTCAATTATCTTCAGTTTAGTGTCAAGTTTAACAGTGTATTGATGCTCAGAATCAGTAACCATTTGCAGTAATGTTAAAATGAGTTGTTCTTCAAAGATCTAACAGCCAAGTCTGTGGCAATAGAACTATTCTTGTCTAAATTATAACTAAGATAACATATTCTTCTAGCAGGCTAATGTGGCATTGCTGAGAAAAAAAAACAAAATTTCTAACTTTAAATATTTTATTTGTGTACAATCACCTATTTTGTAGGCTGAACTGGCGTGTCGTACTGAATGAGAGAATGACATAGTGGTATTTATGATCTTTTAACACAAATGAAAATGTCATAGATTTATGTGGAACTCTGCCTTCATTCCTCACTCCAATCCAAGTTCCTCTCAGAAGGAAGATTAAAAAGGCACATTTCCAACTTCTTGGTTTGTTCTGGTCTTTGTTCAATTTGGAACATGAAGTGCAATAACATGGAGAATTGGACACATCTCTCTTTTAGCCGATAGTTTGAGAAGCAGATTGAGCAAATAATTTATTAGATGTATATTGTCTAAAGTAGGGACATCTTACATCTTAGTACAGTGATTCTCACACTTTTCACACCTAACTTATTATTTGGCTTTCACGGTACCACCAAAACAAGGACATTACCATGCCTAAATTAGAGCAAAGCAATGTATAAAATGAGAGTAGTAGTATTCTAAGTCATGATTAACCCATAGATTTGACCTTAAATTAAATAAATACTGGGGGCCCCGTAGAGTCTACAACAGTTCGAGAAACACCATCTTATTTTTGTGAATAAAATAATACACAGCCTATGTCACATTAGCAGGGGATAATCCATTGAAATGTGTCAGTCACGTTTAATCGATGAGAATTTGCTCGAGCACCTCATAAATCCTTGTCCTACCTTCTCCATGCGTGGCTGTGCGTGGCTGTGGGAGGCGGGCCCTAGGTGAGCTCTTGATCGTGATTGGTGGATGAGGGGCCCCGCACCTGAGGCTGATCGTCGGTGACACAGACGCACACCGCGCTGGTCCGAGGCCTCACTCTGGACTAATCAAGCGCACGATTTAAGAAATACTCGGTGAGTATGATATTGTATCACAAATAAAATGCTTTGTCTCTGGTCTTTGGTTTAACTTTGTTGACTGTGTAGATTGTGATTGTGTTGACTCCGCTGAAAACAATTATCTGCACAACCTTAGCCTAAACATTTGTAGGCTTTTTAATTCCGAAAGTGTACTTATTTATTGTTTTAACTGATAAATGACTTAATTTTGATTGGAAAAAAACATATAAGATTAATCTGAGTTAAAAATTTGTAAAGATCACGGCTTGAATAACATGACTGAAGTTCCCTTTTGTTAAAGCTTGATCGTTCACTTGAGCATTACGGCTGCAGTTATTATTTTAAATTTAATTTTAAATTATTTATGTATTTATTTATTCACACCTTTTGTTGTTTTACAGGTGTGGGTGTCCTTTCTTGGGACTCCCTACCGCTGGTCCCCCCCTGGAGACATGGAGACAAAGGACATAATCATTTTAGAAGCTGACCCACCTCTCCTCTCTTCATCACCTCGAGCTTCTATCTCCCTACAGCCTGAAGATGTCCCTAAAACTGCCTACGGTGTTGTACCAGTGACTGTCAACATGGGACCCCCACCTCCGCCTCCTCCTCCACCACCTCCCCCGCCCCCCCCCTCCTTCATCATCCCTATCTGCCCAACCACCTTTTGGCTTCCGAAACAATCGCAGGTCAATGAAAAAGCTTAACTGGGACACTATTCCAAGTCAGCGTGTCCTGGGAAAGAAAAATGTGTGGACATCCAGAAAGACTGAGAGGGATTTGAGACTGGACATTGAGAGCATTGAGGAGCTGTTCAGTCAAGTGGACAAACGCACCTCAATACGCAGGCCCCCTGGGCTAAAAAATATTGATGATGTTGATACTGTTAAGGAGCCACAGGTAACATTTACAAACAATAATGGTTAGGGAAGTACACTCATTGCACAATGAGAACAGGAAGTATTTAGTTCCACTAACATTTCGTCAATGAGTTACTGAAAAAGTGCCAGTGGTTTAACTTTTGCATGTGTTTTAAGGTCACTATTCTTGATTCCAAAAGAAGTATGAATATTGGTATTTTTCTCAGACATTTCAAGAGGTAAGTAAGTGTGAGTAAGTCAACTATATGGCCTCTGTTGTAAAACGAAACACAATTAGCCTTTAAAATGTTCTTTCATGTTTTTTGTCATGTCATAAGGATGTTCAGTATTAATAATTAGTGTTTCTCAAATTGTGGTACATGTATCACTGGTAGTACAAGAGCTCATTTGGGAGCGTCACTAGTCCGAACAGTTTAGATGTGGAATAGACCTGCTTTAGACCTGGGGCAGTTCTGGTGTTCCTGGGAAAGACAGGTGGTGGTATTTTGTGTGAAAAGGTTACAAAACACCAAATGAAATGACCAACTTTTTTGTATTAGTATTTTCATTCTCACTTCATTCCTGGTTTCAGTCCCTTATCAAAATGACGCTACTGTTCAAAGTCCGCTTAGAATATTTGAATGTCAAATGTGCAGGCCTTTACCTTTTGACTGTCACAATAATCAAGGCGTTTTCTACATAATCGTTTTTTAATCATTTTTTACTCTAATTGACTCCTTCACAGGCCAGTGACGGACATTATCCAGGACATTTGTCAAGGAAACTGGCTCAGGTTTGGTTCAGGCAAACTGAAAGAGCTTTGTAAACTGCTCCCAGAAGATACTGAGGTAATATTCAATACACGTATGTATTCCTATTTTAATATAGCGGTTTTAACATTATAACATTCTCAGGTGAAGCAACTGATGTCATTCACGGGAAACATGGCACAGTTACCAGAGGCTGACCAGTTCATGGTGCAGCTGGTCAGAGTGCCAGGGTAAGGCTAATTCAGTTATTCATCATATCCTGTAATCACATTAGTGTACATGCACTGCTCAAAAAAATTTAAGAAACACTTTGAAAGCAATGACATTTTCAGCCTACAGAGGGCTTCATTTTTTAGACACCCTGAAAATTGTTGTACATCAGGGGGAACTCAGGAGGGTCTAACAATATGTTCAAGGATTTCATCATGATGCCTAAATGCAGTCAGACTGAAATTTTGTAGCTGGTAGTGGTCTGTGCGTCTCCCGATGGATCTGACCCACCACCAAAACGCTTATACTAAACCATGGTGCAGGCAGCAAAGCGTTCTCCTTGTCTTCTCCAGACTCTTTCATGTCTATCAGAGATGCTCAGGATGAACCTTCTCTCATATGTGAAGAACATAGGGCACCAGAGGTGGACTTGCAAGTTCTGGTGTCATCTAGCAAATACCAGTGGACTTCCACGATGCTGGGCGGTGAGCGCAGGACCCACTACAGGACTTCAAGTCACCCTCATGAAGTCTGTTTGTGATTGTTTGGGCAGAGACATTCACACCAGTGACCTTTTGGATGTCATTCTGTTCCTTCTTGCACAAAGGAGCAGATATGGGTCCTGCTGATGAGTTGAGGACTTTCTACGGCCCTGTCCAGCTCTACCAGAGTAACTGTCCTGTCTTCTGGAACGTGTTTTGGAGATTGTGCTGGGAGACACATGAAATTTTCTTGCAACGGCACATCCAGATGTGCTATTCTGAAGAAGTTGGACAGTTTCTGCAACTTCTGTAGGGTTAAAGAATGGCCTCATACTCCCAGTGTAATAATCAGACTATCCAAAACCAGCACTAGTGGAAAACCAAGAGGTTCCTAAGACATGTTCCCTGTTTGTATTTGTATAGATCTCCAACATTTTTTTTTTTCACATTGAAATCTGATGTGTTTTCAAAGTGTTTATTAAAATGTTTTGAGCTTTACAATTGACTGTTTTTATTGTGGTTTGTAGGTATGTGGAGCGTCTGAAGTCAATGGTGCTGAGGGAGGAGTTTTTTCCTCTGATGGAGGAGGTGAAGCACTCTCTGACAGTGCTCTCTGATGCAGCCAATGGTAACTGCTGGTAACATTTGCCCTGAACAGTGTAATGATCTGGAAGAGATGTTCTGGCCTCAGACCTGTTTCTTTTCAGAGCTATTGGACTGTGATGACCTGCACTCGGTCATCCGACTGGTTTTAAAGGCGGGAAATTACATGAACGCGGTGGGTGTCTTTCTTTTCTATTCAACATGTCTTGCTTAATTTATTCCTCTAAAACAAAAGTGAATATGCAGGGAGGATACAGTGCAAATGCCATTGGCTTCAGGATGACTTCTTTACTGAATCTGGCCGACACCAAAGCGAACAAACCAGGCATGAATCTAATGCACTATGTGGCCAAGGTAAGAGCTACTGTACAAAACTATGAGCGAATAAGAGGTAGGCCTATGTGTTATGGGCTACACTTTAATATGTACTGCTTTTGTCCACAGCAAGCAGAGGCCATTGACCGTGAACTACTGACTTTCCCAGTTCAACTTGAACATCTTAGAATGGCTTCAAGGTGCCTATACAATGTACACTTACAAAACAGCTCTATTTGTTCAGTACTGTTGTAATAAATATTTGTCAAACAGAATGTGCAAAGAGGAGATGGTTGCAGAGTTTGAACGAGAAGTCAAGAAGATCAAAGAAGTGAAGCTTTATGTCAGCAGACAGCCGGACCTGTTTGAACAGATGGAGACATTTCTCATTGTAAGGTTGTTTTTTAAAATCTAATTTTAAACCAAGTGAATATTTCATTTAAATTTCTTACTTGTCAGAGAGCTGACGCCAAGTGTGCTGATATTGAGCGCAGTTTGAAGCAGCTGAATTCTGTGAGTTCTGCTGTGGCTGAATTCTTCTGTGAGGATCCAGTCACCTTCAAACTCCAGGAGTGCTGCTCCATCTTCCACTCTTTCTGCACTCGCTTTGACACTGCTGTGCAGGTATCAGTTTGACTATGGTCTCTCCTCACTTTCACAGCTTAGTCAAGAGTATCTGGTGTTGAAAGAATTCTCTCCTCTACGCTCATGTGTCATATTTGTCAAATATTTATAATTTTTTTCTTTAAAACCAAAACATGCAATTTTGTTTTTATTTATTTATCTTATTTATTTGGTTTATTTAACAGGGACAGTGTACATTAATCAACATTTCTATAAATGTACTAGAATTAGCTATTTTTCATCTGTAGTCCTTTATTACATGTATATTTTTGATGACAAGCTCCTTTTTCCCTCATTCAAGGAAAATCGTGAGCGAGAAGCAGCCGAGGAGCAGCGCAAACGTAAGGAAAGCATGCGTCAGTCAACCAAACGCCGGCCCACTGCCTCCTGCCCCCAAACCAACCCCAACGGTGAGCAGGACCCATCAGGCCTGGAAGACGCTCTGCACAGCTTCCTCTCCTCTGTCCCAGGAAGTATCTCCAGATCCAGAAGAAACCTACACCTCGGATCCTCTCCCAGCTCCCAGTCTGTCAAAGTGGAGTCCAGTCCCCAAACTTCTCATGACAGACCGGACAAGAAACAAGCCAAACTGAACAATGAAAGAGGAACAGAGAGTAAGAAGGATGAGGAGAAGATACGCGAGTCAAAGCGAAAGGTGCTGCGTCATCAGAACAGCAGGAGCAGTCTGGATGGAGACAGAGGGTCTGGCACTCCACGGCGCTCGGATCGATCGAACAGACACCCCTCTACCCCCAAGACCCCTCGAAACAAGGACTATTTCTATGGCAACGGCGGAAGTGTAGACTCTCCATGGACCATCCTGAGCCCGGTTACCTGCACGCACAGAAACTCTCCAGATCAGAAGAAACTCTCCCAAAAACGGCCCTCCATTATAGACGACCCTGACGATGGTATTTGGGAGAGTGTTGAGGTCACCTATTTCCCTGATTCAACCCTTGAGGAAAGCTTAACTGCCTCCATATCATGTACGCCTGTCAATTTAAAATCCATTTCCCATGGACCTCTCCACCGCTCTGTGTCAGTAGATGAGTCCAGAAGGTCGCCCGCCTCTGCGTTTTGGATCGGAGATTTTTTCCAGAGAAGTTTTTCACAAAGATCCTACTCATCTGGATCGAGGAGAGACGTGGTAAAAGATGATAGTGTCAGAGTTTGTAAAACCTCAAATCCCTTTGAGAATCAGGGAATTAAATCTTTCTTTAAGCGAATTGGAAATAGAAACAAACCAGGAGAAGCTGATGAGCCCACCATTTTGAAATCTTGCACTTGATAATTATCTTATTTATGACACGTTATGCTTTATAATTTGCTATGTTTTAAATTGTCCTTTTATTTCTTTTAAATTTACTCTTCAGCTGATACAAGGCAACTGTGGACTTGCTTTTATGAATGAAGGTGCCCATTGTGTAATAGTTTTTTGTCTTTATCCTTGTGCATGAATTAAACTATTTATGGCAGTTTTTATCACTTGTTTAAGATTTGAATAAATTATTATAATCTAGCCAGTACACACCTTCACTCCTGCTCAAATTTCACTCCTTACTTTTCACTTCATCTATTATTTCTTTCCCCTCAGCCTGTGTAAAACTACTTGCCACTGCCACAGTGAACACAAAAGTACCAAGATTAGAAAAGAATATTGTCATCCCAAGAAAAAAAAAAAATGCTAAATACTCATTGGTGCAGCAACAATGAAACCAAATATAACAAAGTTGTAGTGGTAATAGTCATACCTGTAGATGTAATGGAGACACTTCATAAAATATAAGTTAGACTAACATACACTCATTTACTTTTTTCTATATGCATTCTATTCATTCTCTGCATAAGGTGGTACTGCTGTTTTTCAGTGGTTGATTGCTGGCTGTATTTAATGATTCATTCATCTGAATTCTTGGGACAGAAAGGGACATTCAGTTTGAGTTACTTAGGCAACAGTGTTGTTTGCAATGCTGTACGGCCACCCTCAGTGCAATCAGAAATCTTATAATGGCATCTGTTTGCACTTATCTACACACGCTCTTTACTGCAGAATGTTTTCATAGATTGTGATCTTGACACAAAGCTGTAGATTAATAATAGTAAATAACAGCAGATATTCGACATGTGTAAAAAGAGCTTTGTTCAAGACATAAGCTTCCTTTGCCATGACTGTCTTGTTTAATGGTAAATAGCACTTCTTCTTGAGTACAACTGGTTCATTGTAATGTTATGTTTGGAGCTTCTCATGTGAGTCTCCTCCTCAAGGCTCCCACTGACCTGCTCACAGTCACTCTCACCATCACACCAGGCCAAGATCTGTGTGTGTGTGTGTGTGTGTGCGTGTGCATGCGTGTGCGTGTTTCAGTGAAAGATGAGACACACAACTCTGAATACTGCAGAGAGACGAGGATACCCAGAGAAACTTGGACCCATGTCAGAGGAAGGGAGTCTTACAAGTTTCATTGTGCCAAAGCTTTTAGGCACAAAGGGCCTTTCGAGGGAGAGAGAAAGTTAATACCTCACTACTACAGACTGCACTGAAGAAGACAAGCTTGAGACGATTCACAGGGACTGGACCAGTGGAGTAGACCAGAGTAAGAATAATGTTTTTTTCTTTGTATACATACACATATATATATATATATATATATATATATATATATATATATATATATATATATATATATATATATTGTGGAGTATGCTGTATATGAAGTTTTGTTAATTTAATTATGTGCTCAAATCCCAGCCTAATAAAAAATGACTCCAGTGCAACAATTACATTCTGAAAGCATAAGTGTGGATGTAGAAAAAGGATCTTGGGAACCGAAATTCCATTTGTGAGAAGAGATCATTGTTTTGTCTGTCGGGGAGGCCATGTTGTGACATTTTGAAGCCTTTAAGTTGATTTTCAACATTTAAACACTGATACTGTGCAAGATTTAAGCTTTAAAAATCCCCCACCGAGCCATATTAAACTGACACATGTTAATGTAACAATTACTGATGAGTACAACATTGTTTTTAAGGAAGCAAAGAATTGACCCCGACGTGATTTGAACACGCAACCTTCTGATCTGGAGTCAGACGCGCTACCGTTGCGCCACGAGGTCTCGATAACGGGTCTGAAATTGCCAACATTGAATGATGTTATCAAACCGGCTATATTTTTGTATGTTTTAAAATACGTTGTGTGTATTTTCTGTACAAATCCCCGACATATCAGTCTGAAAAGCACATAGGCCTATCTTTAAAATATGCAGACCGTTATCCTTATCCAACAAGCACACGCGTAATGTTTAAAGCAAACTCTAGAGGGCGCCATGACTCCACAGAGTCAGGAGGACTGTCGGTGAGTCAGAAACATTTTCTCCTTCGCTTCGTACAACATGTCTCACACTTTCCCAAAAACTTATCTGTAAGTTTCAACTGCTTAACACTTGTACAGAACAGTGTGATCTTGCCCACTGAAGTCGATTTTGGCGCCACATTTGGCGCAACCTCGTTCAAGTGTAGGCCTGCTACTGTCTGATAAACACATGTCTGTATTTTGGTTCACAGGAATCAGAGAGATTTAAATAAGAAGATTCCTACCAGCCAGCCTGTAAGAGGCAGACAGACAAAGCACAATGGAGGGGTAAGTTCCATTAAAAGTGGTGTGTGTGTTCTTAGTAATGCTGCTGTACAGCCTTGGACCAAGACTGTGGCAATTGATGAAATGAGGTTTACGTTTCAATGGTATTTTCCTGCTGAAAGTAATTACAAAGATGCCATAAATGTTGTTTTTTTTTTTTTTTTTTTTTTTGTCTAAATCTGCGCTCACAAACATGCATCATTCATTAAACTTTAATTAATCAAATGCTACTTTGTGATGATTTAGGTTAAGCCACAACTAACCCAAAGCTTAATTGCTAAACAACACGCATAGCAAATGCATTATATTACCTTGTTTTTTTTTAGGCCTGCATAAGAGGACGGTTCCTTCAGGCCTGTCTTTATTGCAGGGGCGTCTGACTTCAGTGCACAGTAACGGTGGTAGGCCTTGGCAAGATTGGAGTCTGGCAGTGACCATTTTCCCTCCGTGCTACACATCCCAAACACATAATTGTACTGAGCAGTCTGGTCCTGGTAGCACACAAAGCACATCTGCACAAGGGCCAGTTTTAATAATTGTCAGGTCAGGGCCAAGCTGGGCTGTTTTATACAGACAGAGAGCGAACTGCCATCTGCGTGCTCTGCTGCACTGGATGCAGTCTCCATGGCAACATGGTGCTCCCGCAGCAAAATCCTGCAAAGAGTTTGGTCCCCACCCCCATCATACGCACAGTGACGCTCACGCACAAGGAGGACAGGGCTGTGAACGATAGCATATCTCTGAACAGCTCGGTCTCCCCAAATGCCCTTTTCGGTTCCAGCATCACCAGCTGTCAGTCTCCAGCATTATTCTTTCAAATCTTAAGATCACCTCATCAATATTAATGTATCCTCGTTACATGTATTTGTTTGCAGATGTCACTAGGGTTGCATCATCTATCATTTAAGAATGGATATAACAATATCCTGCAATATTTTGGAGAGGCCAACAAGAGTGGATATGCTGCTTTTTTCCCTTTTCATTTAATTTTCTTTTTCTTTTTTTTTTTTTCTTTTTTTGTCATTACTGTCATTACTGTGCAGGGGTCTATAGTTCCCTCCATGTTTTCAGCTGATGCAACAAAACTATACTTTTAAACAAAAGAGCTTGTTATTTGAAAAATTGTTTTAACCCGTGATATTATTATATTGTATTTTGGTTGCATATTGTTACATCCCTGCATTCAGTTATCATTTCCTGTTGCAACATCTCACCTGTTTTGATAGAATATCCTTCCTATAGCACACTATTTCTATCAGTTATTTATCATACTAAAAAGCAAGTAATATAAATCTTTAACAATGCTTATACGTCTCGGTTGTATTACAGGTGTTGACATAGATCAAGACAAGATAAAATACACACAGTCAAGGCAGGAATTACACACAAAAAGCTGTCTCTTTGTTGCCATCTCTGCTCTCTCTCTCCCCATTGGTCGAAGCAGCCCCCTCCCATTTTCACTGCAGCCACTGAGCTTGTACTCCCTGTGTCTCTCACCTCTCTCTCCTCTCCTCCAGTCCCTCGCTTTACCCCCTATGAACACACACATACACACAGACCACACCATAAACACTGATCTGTCCGGGTCTCTCTGCTTGAGGTGTATTCTTTTAGCTTTTTAGCAATGACACGTTTTACCAATGGATTTTACTGTCTCGGAAGCAGGACCCTCTGAAACTGGTCTGTTCTGTTGTGACTCCTGGTGAGAATCAATTGTGAGTAAATCTTTTGAATGACACCCTATGTATTTTAAGCTATACCAGCCTTCAATGCAAACTGCCTTTCTGCCTGTGGACTACCAATCTATATGCATTTCCATAGAGTGAGCCATAGTATGGAGTGTTACCTGAAATCCTGTTAGTGTCTGTGTATGTGCTTCACCTGCTAATGTCATTCAGACTTGCCTGTGTTTGATTATAGATGAGTGGAAAGATAGGACACTGTTGTTACCTCTGCTGGGGGGAGCTGTATTTTTGGTGTTTTGATGGGATTTGGTGATAGGTAGCAGGAGGGGGGTACACACCAAAATGCTTGCTTGCCCAGATGGGAGTACACCTGACACAGTAAGGATAACAAGGTAATCCTGTTTTTCTATGTATATTAGCAAAAGTATATAGACTTGGGATCAAGTTGACAACACTTTACCAAGAAAAATGGATTTTACTACTGCTAGTGTGTGACATTTGTTAATTAATTTCTACTTTTTATGTGCAAAAAAAAGTCTAATGAAATTGTCTTCTTGCAATTAAAGGTACACAGTGTAACTTTTTGGCTGGGGGTCCGTCACCTGCTTGTTTCTATGGAAATGTCATCGCTCTGCCTGCAATGTTCCACAGTGATGTTAAACTCTACCTTACATTTACTCAATTACAGGTGTTTTTATACCCTAAAAATGCCAGAAGCAGGAATTCTGACTGTGAGCGGGGTCGCCTCTCCACAGATCTGACCTTTAATTTGGTCTGATTTGGTCTCCATGATGATGTAAAGGTTCAATTCCATACTGTGAAACATTCCAGACAAAGCAATTGAGAAAAGCATTTGATGGACCCTCTACCAGAAGAAGTTACACCTTGCATCTTTAAGTTTATCTTCTCATCTGTGTTATTTTGTTCACTGTTTCACCACAAGCTTAAGACAACAGTGTAAATGTAGTTACAAGTGAAGCATATAGTGACATAGTAATTGAGCTCTTGACATAAGTGTGAGAGTTGGACTTGTGATCCCGGGGCAGCCCTGATCTCTGAGGGGGAAAGAGGCCTGGAATGTCCCTCTGGTATGACAGGAATGAGCCAGGGGCAGTCAGGACAGTACCAATGTAAACACAGCAGTCAAACCATGTTTAAAATAC